GGGCCCGAGCCGCCGCCCGTCCCGGAGCTCCGGGGCCTTTCCCGCCTCCCGGGGCCGGGGGCCTCCTCCATCCCCTCCCACCCGGTCCCACGCCTCTGGCTCCGGGCTGGGGGTTTGGGAATCGGCGCCCTGGCGCGCACGGCCGATCGCGCTCCGCAGTCACTGTCTTCCCGCCCGAGGGAGGCCTCCCGCGAGTCCTCGGTGCCCCCGCGACGCGGGACGGAGGGAGACCCCCGTGCCGTCTCGGTCCTGAGGTGACTTCCCCATTACACCCGCCAGCCCTGAACCAATAACAAAAAGAGAACCTCGCACTGTTAAGCCTCGCTCTGCGGAGTCTTTCCGCCGCCTTCCTCCTCATGCCCCCGAATACAAGAGACCCCTTTCCGGCCTCCCCTCTCGTGGATGCGCCCTTCACTCCCACACTTATCATCGCACAGCCTACAAGGCCGAGCTCCCCAATCCTCCAAAATGGGTGCTCAGGCCTGGGCCCGCCCTCCCTCCGGTGCCCCTATCCACAGTGAAGTCGTTGAGTGCCCACACCTCCTATGAAACGCGGGGTGGAGGGGGGTGTGTCTGTCATGAGAGGTGCTATGTTGGGTGCAGACGTAGCTCTGGAGGGTCTTGATTCCGTTCGAGAGCTGCCAGGGGCGTGCTTGGGGCCCAGGCCACTTTCCCTCACAGACGGGGCACAGGCCCTCGGAAGGGACATCCCGTACCAAACCTGGAGTTCAGAGTTATTTCTTGCAAACTCCATAAAGTTTTTCTTCCGTGCCTTAGATCTGGTATTTTTATGACAGTTATTGACACACATCTATTATCAGAAACCTTCGGATTTTCTAGGTAACTGCGCAGGTTTTGTGTTGTGGAAAGTGGAGAGCATAACAAATATTGCTTTATTGTGCATATTATATATAGTATTCCTCGAGTAAAAAGGAATAATTTACACCTAATGTGATGTCTACAGGAAACAGGAGTGGTATGACTTCTACCAGTTTCTTTGATTGGGAGAGAGGAACTGAATAAATTTTCAGGCCAGGGATGAGTAGAGTAAGTCTTTGGAGTGTGAAGGACTAGTTATTAGAACAGAATTACATCAAAAATTGTACAGATGGAAGACCTCAAGATTTGTGTTTTAAAGCCAGTATCATGGCTTAATTAAGAACTTGATACAAAGTGATGATGATAATAATGTGAAGCATCTTGAGTTTTTATAGCAGCCATTTCTTAAGAAGTGTGAAAGATTTTATGTGATTTTTAAAAATTCTTCCATCTTGAAAGAGTAGGTAGGCACGAATTACTTCTGTCATTCTAAAGGAACAAACCAAAGCACTGAACTGATTTACTTAAGGTAAGACTAAGTGGACCAAAAGCCTTTGACTTTGGTACTGGTGCTCTTATCTGCTGGTGGTAGGGGGCAGGGGAATAGTGTCCATGAGTGTTTCAGAACATGCTTTGAATAGAGAGCCTTTCTGGTTGAGGGTATCTTTTCAAAGGGTAATTCAGAGGAAGTCTGTGTACTTTTATGACTATACATCTGTTCTATCTCCTGTAAAGAAGTATCTCTTAATGTGATCTATCCCACATTTTGAACCAAAAAGATTGTCGTTCCTCACCAGAGGAAAGTCAAGGTGCATCAAAGCAATCTTCCTAGCATTATATTTTTTTTAATTTATGTTTAGAGAGAGGAAGGGGGAGAGAGAGAGAAACATCCATGTGAGAGAGAAACGTTGATCTGTTGCCTCCCACGCTTGCCCCAACGGGATCGAGCCAGCAACCTGGGTATGTGCCCTGACCTGGAATCGTACCCACCACCTTTCAGTATGGGAGGATGCTCCAATCAGTGGAGCCACACCGGCCAGGGTGCAATCTTCCTAGAATTTTTGTCTCAAAGGAGGGTCTACATTATTTTTAGTAAGATGATATTTTTCTTCCACTCACCCCAAAATAAAAATCTACCAAAGTAAGAACTTACTAACTTTCAAAACAAAGGGGAGTGTGCCAGTCTGTTTTATTTTACTTTTAAGAGCTGTAGTATGTTACTGCCTAAATGAGTGATCTTTATAGCAGTAGGATAAGTTTGTGAGAGAATTTTTTTCTCTTTAAAGAAAATCAGGCATATTGCTTTTCTTTGTTAGACCACTAAATTATTTTTAGTATTGGATACTCACAGACTTACACATGGTATTTAAACAGTGTAGCAGAAAACCTCAAGAAACACTTTCCCTGTATGAAATGAGTAAATAAATGAAAGAACTAGAGACAAATATGAAATGCATTGAAGGGAATCCTTTTCTCAAAACACTTCAAACAGTAATAAAAAGGAGTCTGTTACAAATTCAAGACAGTGATTAGTTGAAAGTTTCATATGTAGTACTAAGTAGTTGAGTCCTTTTCTGAACCACCAGGGTGAGCAGTTTTGGGGGTTTTGGTTTTATTTTTTTAATTGACACAAAGAAAGTTTCATATGATTCTCAGGCTGAAGTCCTGAGCATCTCTTTGGGTATGTGTTTTATGGAAGATTTAAGTGTCACAAAACAGTAATGAAAAAGTAATGATATATGACTTATTTTTTAGCTTTGTCGGTGTCATAATCAAGCTTCTTTAGAGGAGTGGCTGTAAGCAACTTCTCATTGTGATGGGGTTTTTTATCCTTTGTGGTGGTGTTGATCCTCACCCAGGGATATTTTTTCCATTGATTTTTAGAGAGTGGAAGGGAGGGAGGGGGAAGGTGGAGAGAAAGAAACATCCATGTGAGAGAGACCCATCTATTGTTTGCCTCCCTCACAGGCCTGACCAAACCTGCAACCCAGGTACATGCCCTTGACCGGGGATTGAACCTGGGACCCTTCCTTATGCAGTCGGACGCTCTAACCACTGGTCCACACCGGCCAGGGCATGGTTATTTATTCCTGGCCTTGGCTTATATCTAACACCCAATAATGAAGCAGAGGTTACAGAGCACTGACATATAAATAAATAAAACCTCACTTGTATTTATCTTCATAAAACAAATGCCCCTCCTTTTTTTTTTTTAATGTATATCTAAAGTTAGATGAAGATGATGAGGATTCAGTGTCTTTGCTTGCTGGCTAGTTATTGCAAAAAGATGAAGACAGCTCTTAGAATACAGTGGTAATGGAAGAGATGAGGAAAGACCAAATGTTACCTTTAGTCGTGCTAGCTGGTGACCAGGATCTTGAGAAAAGGAGGGATGTATGTATTATAATTATATACAAGCACATTATTTAACTTATAACATTAAATATGTACTAATTATAATATAAATGAATGATAATCCTGGGGTTTTGTTGGGTTTATTTTGTTGTTATCCCGGGCCTTCCACAGAATCTTAAAGTATTATTACTGGGCTCTGCATTATGACTATGTAATAACAGAAAATACTATTTTCAAATAACCATACTTTGTTTTAAATTTAATGTGAAATAATTAAACATTGACCAGCAGT